ACATGAAAAGTCTTTATTAATCCTCTTGTGAAAAATCTATACAATGGCTGCAGATAATAGTGTAGAGTCTTGACTCCTTTGCCTTTTTGCCAGCACCAACATTAGCCTTTGTGGTGCCCCTGACTTTCTTTATTCTGTTCTTGCGTTCCTTTCGCTGCTTTCTTGACGTCTTTTTCTTCTCATACAGGCCAGGCCTTGCAAGTCTATGTTTGGGTTCATTTTCTTTGCATAATCCAAGGAATCATAAATCATGCCAAAGCCCATTGTCTTCCCACCACCAAAGTGAGTTCTGAATCCAAATACAAAGATGACATCAGGTGTGGTCTTGTACATCTTGGCTCTAATTTCTGTCCTTGGTACTGTTGCCTTCCCAGGGTGAAGGACATCAATGACCATTTGTTTCCTCTGAAGTAGTCGGTTAGTCATAAACTTCCTGGTCCAGATAGTTACTGTGTCGTTCGTGATGGCGATCCGTTGGGCAGCCAGGGAGGAAGAGCTTGTCACTAGTTTTTATTGTATTTTATTTTAATGTGCAGGTTGTCCCAGATTCAGCCAATGGAAGCTTTGTTGGGAGGTTCCTGAGTCTTTTTGGCATGTTCCCACCATTCCTTTGAGCACTTCCTTTACTTTTTCACAGCAAGAGGCTCTTGGCTCATTCTCTTCCCTGTTCCAGCCCTGGAGTTGCTAACATTTGTCATAGGGGCCTGGCATTCTTTGTGGTGGAGAGTGGTCTTTAGAAACCAAGATCTGGGTATTGCATGTGCTCCCATGATCTTACCATCTTATGGCATGTCTCTGTTCCCAGACTGCAGCAGACAGAGCTGGGTTCACACTCATCTCCATCTACTAGAATCTCTCTGCATTCAGAGATGGCCTGGAGAGCATGGGTACCGCCAATCCAGGGCCATCAGGGTTCCTTCTAGCTTATTCTAGACGATTTCTACCCCTTAAATTTGGCTCTCTTTGTCCTTGGTGTGTGACCTTTGTTCTCTCCCCACCCTGTGCCAGCACCATCATTTCACATGCCCCAGCTGCCTACCTGGCTGCTTCCTCCTGAATCCTTCTCAGCACCTGCTGCATGCCCGGTTTAATTGCAGTATGCTTTCCTGGTCAAATCAAGGCTTCCCTGTTCTTCAGATATTACTCAGAGACTGAGGCAGGCCTGAACACCCACAGACAGGAGCCTACTTCCTATCTTGTTTCTCGGAAGGGCAAAGACTGCCCCAGTGGTGGGGGGTTGGGGATGGGATGGAGGTGGGTGGGCAGGCTCTTCTTTTTTTTTTTTGAGACAGAGCCTCAATCTGTCCCCCTGGGTAGAGTGCCGTGGCATTACAGCTCACAGCAACCTCCAACTCCTGGGCTCAAGCGAGTCTCTTGCCTCCGCCTCCCAAGTAGCTGGGACCACAGGCGCCCGCCACAACGCCCGGCTATTTTTTGGTTGCAGCCGTCATTGTTGTTTGGCGGGTCCGGGCTGGGGATTCGAACCCGCCACTTTAGGTGTACGTGGCTAGCGCCTTAGCCGGTTGAGCTATAGGCGCCGAGCCGGCAGGCTCTTCTTTTAAGGGATGCATGTGCCCTTGGGGAGACTTAAGTATAACAGCCCGCACAGCCCCAAGCCTTACCCTGACATGTGTTGTAAGAAAAGGGAGTTTCTGGAAGGATTGAGAAGCAATTGCCCATGTTTTAAAGGAGTGGGACCCAAGACAGGGGCCTCTAGAGTTTGGCTGCTCTGAGAGCACACTTCCCTGCTTTCGTGGGCCCCTTCAGTCCCCTGAGGCTCTAGTTCCCTTTAGAAATGTAGCATGCTTGTTTATTCACTGCAGCTTTCAGTGTGGATTTCCTGTGTGGCTGCAGGGTGGGCCTGGGTCTGAGCCCAGTACTACTGGCTGGTCAGTGGCAACAGTTACCCAGGCCTGCTGTGCCCCCATCAGCCTGAAGGTTCCTTGGTGATAGCATTGCTTTCACAGCAGAGTGTTAAAGAGCAGTTTACAGACAAAATACAAGGTTGGAAAACCAGTGTGAAGGCTTTCTAAAAATTATCTCAATGTATCTAAATTGCTGGTCATCTAAAATAATCCTATGCTTTGGAAATGTAATTCATTATTTCCCTCATAAAAACGAACATCTGGCAATGAGCTTCTCTTCCTTCTGCATCCTGTGGCGTCTGGTTCTCCTGAGTTTGGTTTTATGACCACCCTATTATGGGAGAGGCACCAACCCCACTAGCAGGCTCAACTCATGTTAACTAGTAATGGGAATTGTTAGGATCCTATTGTCGCCCAAGGAAAGCAGTGTGACTCCCCAGCGCAGCAGGGGAACTGTTTTTTCTTTCACATTCTGAATCCTGCTTTGATTTTCCTTTATATCTGAAAGTTCAATCTGAAAAAGTGTTCTAGATTTTGTCATTGTTGTCTTAGTATACAATTGAGTGTTTTTTTCGTATATCTACTGAGCTGGGCAGTCTTCACCATAATTAATTTTAAAACATTTCCATCACTCCAAAAGCAAGCCCTGACTCTTCAGCAATCATCCCTCCAGCTGCTGGCAACCATGAATCCACTTTCTCCATGGATTTGCCTATTCTGAACCTTTCATATAAATAGAATCAGACTGCATATATGACTTTATGGAGCCTTTTTGGGGGGGGGGGCTTTACATTTATTGAAGTCTTTTATTTCTTCCAGCAGTGTTTTATAGTTTTCTTTTGTTATATTTATTTCCAAGTATTCTGGTACTTTTATAAAATGGAATTATTTTTTTAATTTCATTCTTGTATTGTTCACTGGTAGTGTGTAGACACAGAATTGATTTGTGTGTGTTGATACTGTGCTCTGCTTTCCAACCAAGGTTGAATCTTAGCATAAAAACAGGGCTGCCTCTAGGAGATGTGATGCCACAGCACCTATGCTTTCTAGATGTGGGCCTGCCTGACTAAATCAGGAGCCTTTTATGATGATCCTTCCTGTCATAGATCAGGTTGGATTGCCATCCCACCCCTGGGCATGCTCCACAGATAGGGAGATTTGGGATCCATATGGAAAGGTGTCTGAGCCAAAGCCAGA